TCTGTTAATATTATTTAATGGACCTGAGCTGACATGAATTAATTAATAGTTGTGCTTTTATGAACTCATAATAATTATATATGTATATATATATAATTATTTGATTAATAATAATAATAAAAAATAATTATAATGAGAAAATACAAATTTTTACTGGAAAAAAAATCATGCATGTATTTTAATAAAAATACAAGTATCACATTAATGCTTTTACTAACACTTTACAATAAGGTTAACATGCGTTAACTACATTAGTTGAAAGGAACTAACAATTAAATACTTGTAAATCATTTATTAATCTTAGTTATATCAATATTTACTAATGCATTATTGAAATCAAAAGTTAATATTAATTGTTAATATTATCTAATGGACCGGAGCTGACATGAAATAACAATATTTTATTAACATTAACAAAGATGAATAAATACTATAACAAATGTTTTGCTCATTAGTTAAAAGCATTAACTGATGTTAACTAATGGAACCTTACTGTAAAGTGTTACCAAAATATCTGACTTCTGATATTTAATTAACTATAAATTGAACTTTGTGCATCAATTATTGTGAAATAATCAACGGATACAATTTAGCCAAAACTTTATTTGATCAATTCAGTGGAAAAAAAGACAGCGTATACAAATAGAATATTATTTGTATCCTAAAGCTGGTGTTCTTTAGTTCATGTGTTAAAAAAGACAACACAATTAAAGGATAAAAAAGTCAAATATCTTCCCGTTTAAAAAAAGAGAACAGTATGAAAGAGCATCATTCATATGAAACATCAGATCTAAAAACAGGAAAAAATAGTTTTGCATATAAAATAAGGAACTATGTGAAAAGAGAGGAAAGGCCTTTACATTCATGTACGTATGGTGATTATTACACATCATATCAACAATCAGAGCATTTCACAATAATAATAATAATAATAATAACAACCTGCCAACAGATTCTCACATCTGTACAAAGATCATATATGTGGTTGTGCTGATTAAATCACAACTATTGCATGGTATTTACACTGATGTGTAGAAATGTTGCTTTAAATTGCCTTCAAAACACTTACAATGCACAAATGAATAGTGTGCGTGTGTGTGTGAGTGTGTGTGGAGCACAGAACGCATTTATCCTGCACTGTAAATCACAAACATCATTTCTAGTTGTTAATATATAAATAACGAACGAAACGGAGCTAAAAAACAAAGTAATTTCAAACAATCGCAAGGTGTATTTCACCTCGATGGTCCCTTGGACTCTGAAGTACCTCGCTGAGGTTGTGCAACACGCGTGAAAAACCTCCAAAAGTAAACAGGACGAGGATCGATGAGACGGAGAATCCAAACCCTTCCATTAGACACATAATATCAGACACCGAAAACCATGAAAACACAGAAGAGAAGAAACATGAAGCCTGTTTAAGGACCAGTAGGATTTTTTTCTGGACATTTAAATCAGGATTTAAAATCAATTTCTGCCTTTATGCATGTTGTGACAACATGCCCCGGTAGCATCCTCCATTATATATATTTAAAATGTATTATGACTATTTAATGGATTTTATATGGAAGCTTGGTTCCCAATGGAATAAAAATAAATACAAAAAGGTAATAGCGACTTTTTCTTACATTTCGGACATTTATTCTCACATTTCTGAATTTGTATCTCATAATTCTGAGTTTCTTTCTCGTAATTCTAAAAAAAAAAAAGTCTTTACATTTCTGTTTATTAGTTTTCACCACGGAATCTACAGAATAAATGATACAGAATAAAAAGTTAATTGCAACATTTTATCTTACAATTCTGACTTTTCTCGCTATTGTGAGTTTATATCTTGCAATTCTGAATTTTTTTTCTTAAAATTACGAGAATAAAAATCAGAATTGTGAGAAAAAGAGCCAGAATTAAGATATAAAGATATATGAGATTTAAAGTTGCAATTACCTTTTTACGTTTTTTTTTTAATCTCATGGCGGAAACAAGCTTCCATATTTTTGTGCCGTATTTAAATGGTAAAATAATTTATTCAATGCCAAAAATGGAAAGGTAACATGCAAAAACAATATAAACCATTGTTTTCACTAACAGAAACTGTTATGACTCAATTTTATAAAATTGCATCATATAAATAAATTAGGATTTCTCATTCTCATGCATACATTGGGTTTTTTAACTTAAGTTCTCATCACTTAAATACCATCATTTTTAGTCCGAAAAACAGGCTTTATTTTCTTAAAGCAAAACATAATTGCTTATTTCTATTTTTTCGATTGAAATACGATTCAGAAATGTTCTAGACCGGTTGCACTCCTTTAATACATTGGTGGGGGTTTTAATAAGTTAATTTCTAGTTATTTTTAGTGGAATTCAGTCATTTTAATAATTACAAAAAAATAATTTATCTAAATTTCTACTGTATTGCACATTCGATTGCAAATGATCAAGTGAAATTTAGTCCAAACTAAACTACTTTGGGAGTCAAAACACGCTTCAGTCGAGAAGTCATGTGTAAAATTACAAATATAGCAGAATTATATTCTAGATATATATATATATATATATATATATAGTAAAAGCTGCTGTTCGTTTTCAATTGGTCAGTTCATATAGTGAATGTAAAGACAGTAATATTTGGCATGACATTAGTTTTAATACGACTATAGCGCCAGATTAAAGAAGTTCTTAATGAATCAGCATTGATTTGGCTGGAAGTGTTAGTGTTCCCTCTCATATCCTCAGAAAGCATTGTGAAACGGACAAACATCACAGATCCAGACGTGGTAAACGTGGTAAAGTGAACGTGTGATCTCAGAGCAGTGAGGTTGGGGATCTTCTTGCTGAAGTGTCGGAGATCGGGAGGCTTTAGGCCGTTCCGCTGGCCGAGTAGGAGAACTGTGGGAAGTGTGGCCTCCTCTCGCTGTCGAACGACTCCATACTGTCTTCTGCTCAAAACACAGACACAACCAGAACCATTTTTAATACGCTCCTCTGACCTCAAAGAAACCCAGCCGGCAGAACTTCTATGCAAAGTTAGACTATTCAGGAAAATAACTGTGACTGATTGTGTTTGGGGGTCACTTACTTATGCTCCAAATGCTTTGACAAGACAAATGTGACCCTGGAGCACAAAACCAGTCATAAGGGTCAATTTTTTGAAATTGAGATTTATACATCAGCTGAAAGCTGAATAAATAAGCTTTCCATTGATGTATGGTTTGTTAGGATAGAACAATATTTGAAAATCTGGAATCTGAGGGTGCAAAAAAATCGAAATATTGAGAAAATCATCTTTAAAGTTCTTAGCAATGCATATTACTAATCAAAAATTAAGTTTTGATATATTTACGGTAGGAAATGTACAAAATATCTTCATGGAACATGATCTTTACTTAATATCCTAATGATTTTTGGCATAAAAGAGAAATCGATAATTTTGACCCATACAATGTATTGTTGGCTATTGCTACAAATATACCCCAGCGACTTAAGACTGCTTTTGTGCTGCAGGCTCACATATGTACAGTGCAGGTGTTTGTCAGGCCGGTGTATTAATTGTGGTACTAATTTGTACACAATAGAAGATATTTTAAAGAATGTTGGTAACCAAACAGCTGCTGCTCCCCATTGATAACTATAGTTTTCTATAGAAGTCAATGGCTACCGTCAACTATTTGGTTCCCAACATTCTTTAAAATATCTTCTTTTATGTTCAACAGAAGACAGAAACTCATACGGGTTTGGAGAGTAAATGATGACAGAATGCATTTTAGGGTGAATTGTCCCTTTAAATAAAAAAAAAAAAGGAAAAAACTATTATAGCGTGGCCAGGATTTACTAAAACGAGGGAATGAATGAGTAAAATGTGGGAACGGATTCTTAATTCTTGGCCATGATAAATATATTTTTGTTTGTATGTTATGTGTGGGGCTCTGTACAAACCAAACCGAATGAAAAGAGATTTTCTTCAGAAATGTGCTTAGATCACTGATGTTTAATTAACTCTAAACTCAACTTGTGTTATTTATACTTAAATAAAATGCCCTGCTCATGAGAGGTGTGGAATGTTGTGAAATAATCAGCAATGCAATTTAGCCAAAAATGTATTTGATCAATTCAATGAAAAAAAAAAAAAAATCTGGTGTTCTTTAGTTTTTGTGTTAAAAAAGACAACAAAATTAAGGATAAAAAAATAAAATATTTTATTTTTAAAATCATTTTTTATTTTAAAATATTTTATTTTATTTTAAAATATTTTATTTTATTTTTACTTTATTTTAAAACATTTTATTTTATATAGTGGACAGTATAAAATAGAATAATTCATCAGATCTAAAAGTAGGAAATGAGAATTCTAATGAAAATTCATTACTAAGTATTGCATCATGAGATATTTTAACATAAATACAACTAGAAATAAAGTTAAGTAACTTATTGAAACGCAAATGCTGTCAGTCAGTCTGTAAGACAATTAAAGTAAAAGTAAATATAAAAATAAGCATGTAAAACTATTAGACCTCCATGCATCGTATCTGCTGAATGAAATCCAAGATTCTTACTAACTGAAAATACTCTGTTTTGCTCTTTCAGGTCTCACTTTCTCACGAAATATGATGCATTTTGTAGCATTTTTGCTTTTGAGAATCGTGTGGTGAAGAAGTCTTATCCATTACCAGCAGAAAAACACCTCGAACACACGATTCCCGTCTGAATCTGAGCCAGATTACAGCGGTTTGATCACATGCATGACATTATTCGATGCCTGATCCTGGTTCTGAACTACAGCCAGAGACAGAAGAAAGTGGTGTTTTCTGCTGCGTCTGTGGGTGTTTTACAGCATCCAAACAGCCACAGAAATCACAGAAAAAAAAGCTTATTTTGCTAATTTTGTAAAGTTCTTTGACATTAAATGGAATATTTGAATGTGTTTTCCCACTACTTAGCAGATTGTAAGTTAAATGATGCATTTTGAATATGTTTTGAAACTCTTGACTGCTTTTATTATTTTGATAAGTGCATTAAATCTGATGCATAGCCTATATATGTAATGTGAAAAACTGAATAGAATGTAAGGCGTGTTTTATTTATATTTCTGAACTCGGTTAGGTATTATTAGGCTTCTTGTGTTATGAAGTCTCTAGAATACACTACCAGACAAACATTTTTGACTAAACAAACACAAACAACCATGTATTACATAATCATAATAACAAATAATTACATATTTATATATATATACACTACCAGTCAAAAGTTTTTGAACAGTAAGATTTTTAATGTGTTTTAAAGAAGTCTCTTCTGCTCACCAAGCCTGCATTTATTTGATCCGAAATACAGCAAAAGCAGTAATATTCTGAAATATTTTTACTATTTAAAATAACTGCTTTCTACGTCAATATCTGTTAAACTGTAATTTATTTCTGTGATGCGCAGCTGAATTTTCAGCATCATTACTCCAGTCTTCAGTGTCACATGATCTTCAGAAATCATTCTAATATACTGATTTGCTGCTCAAGAAACATTTCTGATTATTATATAAATATAATAATATAAATAGAAATCTTTTGTAACATTATAAATGTCTTTATCATCACTTCTGATCAATTTAAAGCATCCTTGCTAAATAAAAATATTAATTTCTATAATTTATTTCCCCCCCTCAAAAAAATAAAAAAATAAAAGTGAAGTGACATGTGACATGTGGCCAAGTATGGTGACCCATACTAGGAATTAGTGCTCTGCATTTATCCCATCCAAAGTGCACACACACAGCAGTGAACACACAC